ATAATCGAATGTACCTTACAACAATATCGAATAGAAAAGAATAGTTTGATATATCCGAGTATAATTTCATTTTAAATGAAGTGTTTTTATATTATAGGAAAGTAATGATATTTAAAGATAGCAAGAATTTTATTGAATAAAGTTTTTGCACTATATTATTCAACAAAATAGCTGTTTTTTTTATCTCTAAAAAATCATTATTTTTGGTATAATATAAACTCACATTGTATCTCAGAATTTTCATTTCTGTTCGATCGTGATGCAAGCTACAATCACTTATTTGTCATTTTTAATCAATCGAAAAGTATCATCAATAAACAGAGAAGAGCAGAGAGAAAAGGAGAGAGAGAGAAGAACAAGAAGTGAGAATAGGAGATCAAAAGGATCAAAAAGATAACAGAAAAATTTATGAACGACATAATTATTAAGCAGTGCACATATATTGGAAGTTGAAAAACAACATGCATTAATTTTTCTTGGCCACGACGCCAGCTAAATTGTGGCCAAAAAGTAAAGTGTGAATATGGCTCATTTATATAAATATCATTACACTGGTAACGTTATACAGGAAGATTTGATATAAATTTCAATACAATCTTGTTTTTCGTTACACTATCACTTTCCGATTATTCATTGTGAAATAATTTAACTTCTGCTTCTCCTTCTAGTTCTTCACTAGACACAGATTAACACCAATCAATCTTGATTCGATTCAAAATTCTATTGATAGTAATTATTTTAGATTTACATTTTGCTCAAACCTATCAACTAGACCTATTCGTATTCTGGTAACTGTATACAGCCTTCTAATGTTCTATTCATCTCGGAATATAATTTAGTACTATGAATAGATTTTCTTCAAAATATGATTTACTAGCGCTTGCCATTTGATAATCTTTGTCCATAAAAGTGAAATACCTATTTGTATTGTTGTAATTGTACACATTCAGACCCAACCTCACTCAGATCCAGCCGCATCCGTACTCACACCCTCATACTCCCACTCACATCCACATCCATCCTCGCCCACACTCACATCCACCCAAACCCATACCCATATCTAATTCACGAGGGAGGACTGGCACTGGTGTATATATTCTTCATTCAAAGCGATGGTAGAATGGCCGACTTCAACTATCTTATTTAATTACTCATAAAAAGCTGTATATAGGCTAGAAAATCTTCAGATTTTTATAACTATGAACTCTCTGACATCTACCAAATCAAATGGCTACATTTGTGTTTTCATTATATTGTTGACACATATTTCCATAAAAATAGGTACAGAGCTATGTGGTCAATATTCTCCAGCATTTACAGATATGAACAATAATACGATAAAATACGATATTTTATTAATCTATGTATTTGCAGATACACATGAATATGCTCAAGGAAATCTAAAATATTTCGTCCAAACGGCAGTACGAGAGCGTGATGGTGTACATTACTATTTCATCCTTCAACAAGCAACGAATACATTTTTAGATATTTCGTATTTCCCTCGTTTGCCTACAAATGCTTGGTACGTACAGCATGAAAACAAGTGCTTTGATATTGGTTCCGTAGGCTGGTTTCTTGGAACGCACTTTACAAACCGCATTGAACGAAATCTAACATCGTATAAATATTTTATATTTATGAATTCATCAATTCGTGGTCCGTTTTTTCCGCCACACTTTTTGGCTCTTTTAACTGCATACGAAACTCGACATTATACGAGATTGTATTGGTATTCAATCTTTATTGAAAGACTAAATCAAAAGGTAAAACTTGTTGGCTGTACTATCAGCTGTCAGACCACTCCTCATGTGCAAAGCTACTTAATGGTTGTTGATATTTCAGGCTTATCAATCTTACTGCACAGAGAAAACGGCAGCACCGTCTTTGACTGTCATAATACCCTACAGGATGTTATTGTACATAGCGAACTAGCTGCCTCAGCTCGAGTATTGAAAAACGGTTTCCGGATTGACACATTACAAACAAAATATCAAGGAATTGATTTCAGTCGTAAAGAAAATAGAAGGTGCAACGAAGGAAAAAATCCTTATCGAGACCGATCGGTAGATAGTTTAACCTTAGATCCTTATGAAGTTGTGTTTGTAAAATATAATTATAAAGCATACAGAGAAGCCGCAGATAGAGCTACAGTTTATCAAAAATGGGCGTCAAACCTAAATTTCAACAAGTGATATTTTACCTGCGTGAACCCTCGTATATTACAGCCAAGTACTTGTAACTAAAGTTGTTCAGATATAAACGAATTTACCTATTTCACAAAATTCGAAAAGCGATGCAGTAAGAAACGGTACCTGAGAGTGACTTTAGACAAAACTGGAACAACCTATAAAAAGCTATTAGCGTAATCCCTTGAGGAATAAAAATGTGAAACACGATCAGATGGTTAAAACAATTCACAAACAGCTAGTGTAATTGTGTGTATTATAGAACAGAATTTTTCGTTCTATTATGAGAGATAGAATTATCGGATGGTAACAGGAAATTGTTGATCTGTTATAAAATCAGGATATTGATATTACACTAGTTATCGTTGAATTAAACCAAGAATTATTTAATATAATATATGATGACCATCGTATTTAATATAAATAATATCTTATAGTTTTATTTTGTTCTACATTTTTAAACAGATGATACATCTAGAGTGTAACGAAGTACGAAAAAAATAAAAGAGAGATTGACTTCTATATTTTTCATTTGAAGTTTTAACCTGATTCTTTTAGATGTAAATATATATGTTGGTATGAATATGAATAATTTTGAGATTTTAATCAATTTAAATGAAAAGTAAGTAATGTAGTTTTATGTTGAAAATTTTGATTTTATGGAAATTTTCGATCTTCTTTCGATCATTATCAACATAGAAGTTGAACAAAAAAAATTGACAGATGATAAAGTCACAACTGGATATGGACTGATGTTAGATTAACAAGTATTATTATGTTAGAACTATGGTTTTATAGAAGAAAGGTAGATTTTAATGATTATAAGTAGTATAAGAGGTGTAAGAAAAATATAAACAATTGACAGTTATATTGGTTATCATGATTAATGAATTACTATTTTGATTTGATTTTAGTTTTAATTTTTAATATGTTCATTATATCTATATACTTAGTTTTAATTCATGTATAAAATATTACTGATTAGGAAATATGTTTGTAAATTAATGAAGACTTGAGATTTAATGCAGTTCCATATAAACAAAACTAAATGTTGACTATATAATAATAATCTTTTTTTTTAATAATAATGAAAATTTACAATGTTATGGGATCATTATCATTTACACATGATGTGATTTATATTATACTATTGATTGATCAGAAAAAGGAATAAGTTGAATTAAAAGAAAAAGTTTTTTTTAATTTGGTTATATATACGAAAAGCTCTATTGATAATGATAATTGTAAGTTACGGTATAAATGTTATAGTTTTGTGTGCAATTATGATGTTAATTAATTTGTTTTTATAAGTAAATGTTATAATATTATTTTGTGTAAGATATCTTGAAACTAATTGGAATTTTAATATAAATGTATAGCTTTTTATTTGGTATACTGGATTAATATGAAAATTTTATTTTATTATTTGTTTATTTTTATTGTATGATGGTTGGATATATTTGAGTGGTATTTTAATTAACGTTTGATTTAATCAATTGTTTTTTTATGTTTTCATTTCAAGAGATAAAGATTACATTTTGATATTATTATTATAGTTATGGTGTTTTACTTGTAGAAAGACGACGTGATGTTATTTTCCTTTATTTTTCTCTATTCGTCTTTCGAATACATGTATTATTTATTTAGTATATTCGTCACTGTATGTAAAGATATATATAAGTTTTGTTCGTTCTGTATGTAGTTAAAAATGTTGTCAATGTTTCAGCTATGTGGAATGAGATATATGCTTTATGTATTTTTTTTATTTTGAATACAGCTCTTGTCTCGTTCTTCCTTTTGTTTGTTTTGATATTTTTATTTTATGATGTGTTTTGTATCTCATGACTGTATTTCATGGAATTAATGATCAAACGAATCGTTTTCTTTGATGCATGCCTCTTTTTTTTTTATATATCCTCTATGTGTATTCAAGAATTAATTGTGTATGGTTTGTTTTTTTAACTAGTTATTCGTCGTTTATTTGTTTTCAAGTGCACACACATCAAGTTTATTATCAAGTCATCTTTGATCATTATTTAATTAAGGTAAGAACTACTTTAATTATTTGTAATGTGTGCGTTTATTAATTTTTTGCGATTATTTTCAATAGTAAAGGTTTTTTATTTTTTTTTGTGGGTTTGTTTTGATTGTTTGTTTTTTCGTGTTATAGTGTATAGTTTGTGTATATGTAAAAAATAAAGTTTAAATACATATGTTTATACGTTATGGATTGTGTTATTAATGGTTGTGATACATATAAATAACAGGCAGCGTAATGAATATATTGTAAATTATTCATTTAAATATTTGTCAATGACGTTTTATTATATCTTATTATATCGACAATCGATGACAAACATTATTTTATATCAAATTTTAGGAATATTATTATGAATTTTACTACAATTACAAGATTTTATTTTTAGTTATGAAGTGACAGTACATGATAGTTCCCTATACGAAATGATACACTTAGTAGAAATGATGAAAGACATTCAATTTATAACGAATATTAAGTGTGTCTCTTCTAGTCTAACTGGTTAAAGACATCTACTCGGAGAGTAGAAGACGTGCGGTTCGAATCCTACGAAGGGATTATCTTTTTCTTCTTTCGATTATATATAATTAGTAAGTGGAAGGATAATATCTTTCAAAGTTCGCTCATTATAAAATCTTATCAATTTTCTAAATTAATTGATAAAAATTGTGTACAACGAATTAATTGTTCATGTGTGTGTGTTGCGGTTAATTTTATGCGTTCAATACCTTTTTTATTTATATAATTTTACTATATAAAAATATATTCCAGTCATGAACAATCAACAATCACCATCAATGAATTTTTTTGTTTTGGCTGATAGTCACGCAAAAAGAATTCCAAAGTTTATTTCAACATCATCATACAGTTTAGTTACAAGATCAATTTCTGGTTTGAGTTGGATTAATGATACTAAACCAGAACTCTCTATATATGCATTATTATCGTCATCAGATATCCGGTCTTCATTATCTCAAGCAGATGCGGTATTATTCTTTGTTGGAACTAATTCCGTACGATTCTTTCCAGCAAGAGAAATTATCCATCAAGTCCAACAAATAATTTTTTCTGTTCAGCAAAATTATCCCCATCTTAATCAACCTGGAAAAATCTCCATCTCTTTAACTTTTCCATGTTTTTATCCACTTCGTGGTCGATTCCTAGAAGACTTAATATACAACATCCATGTATATAATGAACAATTAAGATTCTTATCGACCACAATGAACTTCAACATCCTCGATTTCCACATTACCAATTACCATCTGGATGGCGATAAAATGCATATACAGCCTCGTTTTCTTGGTTATATTATTAATTCCATCACTAACCATTTTGATCAAGTAATTGAAACTGTATCACCTCCAACACTTCCAACACCTCCGACACCTCCAGCATCTGCAGTACCTGATAATAAAAAAGCTCCACAATCTTCAAACAGGAGTAGCGAAGCATTACAACTTCGTAATAAAAAACGTCACGAAAAACGAAAAGAGAAACAACAAAAGCATCAAATAAAGAGAAAAATACATTATCAATGGATCAATGATGAAATAAAACAATATCTTGATTCACTTAACATTAAATATGCTTATATTCCACCTGTTTACGGTAATATTCTTCGAATTCAATTCAACAACAAAATAGATCAAGATTTCGCCGATGAACATCTCGGATTTGACATATTTAATGAAAATCATTATAAAGAATTTGTTAATAAACATCATTAGTTTTCGATTATGGTTTTTTTCTTTTTATTTATGTAGAATAGTATCGTGGTTCTTTTGCTGTTTGCTTTGTTTTCAGTTCTTTGATGACATGTTCTGTCATCTTGTTTTTGTTAAAGTTTTCTGATTGTTTTTCATATAGTGTAAATAAATTTCTCTACAAACCTATTTAAAAAGCGGTAATTTGATTCATTCACAAAAAGCAAAGATTGTATGATTCTTCCAATAAAATCTTGTACTTCTTCAAATAACACTCGGTTTTTTTGAATTTATAAATTCCAGAAGTTTTAAACATTTGTATAAGAAATGCGCTCATTGGAGATTGTAAAACATATCATGATTTCTACAAAACGTTTTCTACATAATAAGATTATATGAAAATCTACATCAAATATTATTTAAATGTTCATTATTTGTTTATATTTTTGATATTCTAGGTTATTGTACAAGATTAATCTGTGTCTGGCTATCCAGTTATTAGTTAATATTTTGTACTCATCCACTCATTTGAATTATCGTCAACCAATATTAATATTAATTTACTGTTACTATTCAAACAGAAGTTATCAACATTATTATCATTGTGGTAAGTCATTTTGCTTTGTTTTTATAATTATTCGTAGAGTTATTATTAGTAGTATTATTATATTATGATTCCACAAGGCAATAAGCTCTTTTAAGTGTTAATTCTCTCTCTATAGTTAACATATCGCTCTGCCGACATCTTTGATGTTGGTGGAATTTTACGATTGTTCTATAGCAGAGAGATTCTTATTGAAAAACACCTTTACATTTTCCCTTAGTGGTATTATTTTAATTTATATAACATGAACACTGACAACGTTGAACAGTATCTCCGTGATAATAACCATCATCATGTTCTATTTAATTATCGTACCGTCAAGAAATATTACCTTCGTACTGAGCTCGTTCGCCTAGATATTCGTTTTCTAAAATCCTGTAGAACCAAAGATATTATACCAAAATTCTTACAGTTCAAGACTGCAAATCAGAATCTAGGTTCATCAGCAACGTACAAGGAATGTCAACGTCGTTTATTAAAAGCTGAGATTGATCATAAATATCAACATTTTAATAAACTGAAAAAAATGCATCAATCTTCGATTATTTCACTTCAACAGTGCTGTCCTGGAGATTTATTTGAGAGATTGCAAAAAATAATTATTGACGTCTGTAGTCCACTTATTAAATCAAAAGAACAAACTGTTGAAGACAAACTTTATCGTCATACTTTACTTACTGAATCACAACATAAATTCAATCGAAAAGTTGTTAGGAATCTTTCAACACGAAAATTATCGGATGATGAGATCGGTTGTCTTGCTAATGGTCTAGATTATGGGTTAGTACCCAAACGTTTTGATGAGATGAGTGCTGTGGGAAACATTGAACAGTTTTTCCATCGCGTCACCGATATATTTCAACATCATAAAAAGCTTATGGCTGACCTGAAAGACAAAGATCCAGTCATTTCGAATGATATTCGTGTTCTCAGTACGAAAGAGATGACTTTGGCCAGTCATCTCCGTAGTTTAACTGACACTTTTCAGCATCAAGCAAACAAATACCGAAAAAAACAATTCCTCATACGTGACGAACAAAGACAATCATATAAACTATTAAACTCATTAAGTCAAAACGAATCACTTGTTATTACTCGTCCTGATAAAGGTCGAGGCATTGTTATAATGAACAAAAGTGATTATTACTCAAAAATGGACGTGATCCTTAATGATTCGACTAAGTTTAAATGCCTTTCTTATGATCCTACCATTGAAAGAGAACGTCGTTTGAGAAATTTGTTATATAGACTTAAAAAACAATGTCTTATTTCTGAGCAATTCTGGAATACAGCAAAACCGACCGGATCAAAGCCTGGACGTCTCTACGGATTACCAAAAATACATAAGGATGATATCCCTCTTCGGCCTGTTCTATCATCCATCGGTACCTACAACTATGGTCTTGGTAGGGCTCTAAAAGTCATGATATCAAGCATGTTACAAAATGAGGCAGTCATTAAGGATACATTTCAATTTATTAGCGACTTAAAATCGATACCAAAGGGATTTTCAAGATATAAGATGGTTTCATTTGATATTACAAGTTTATATACAAATATACCTATTGATGAAACTATTAAACTTATTTTGAATTATTTTTATGATATTGAAGCACAACCATCAAACACAATTAAAAGAAGAGACATGCAGAAATTATTAGATTTTGCAACAAAATATTCTCATTTTCTCTACAATGGTAAAGTTTATGATCAGATAGATGGTGTTTCTATGGGATCGCCTTTGGCTCCACTTCTAGCTGAAATCTTTCTTCAAGACTTTGAAAAGAAACATTTACCAAGATTTAAAAAAATGGGTATTCTGTACTGGAAACGTTATGTGGATGACACCTTTGTAATACTTAAGCCCGGTGTTTCAGCAAAGAATATCTGTGCTAAATTATCACAATGCCATCCAGCCTTAAAATTTACTGTTGAAGAGGAACGATTACCAAACGAAGAAGATAAAAAGAAGATAACCCATAAGGTTAAAAATTATTATTCAAAGAAAAAAGAAATTCCAAAAACAGGAGAAGCTGCAAAAAAA